AACCACGGGAACCAACGAAATTCGTTACGGCCTCATGGTTCAGGGTGTCTCAGTTCCTCCCGCAAAGATGACCGTCTATTCCACAGACCCCTGCGACCCGCTGGTTACCACCCCAAAGATTCTCGTCGAGCTTTCGGGAAAGTGGTACAACACCTCGCCAAGACGTGGTCCCCCGAGTTTCACCATGAGTGGTTCCGTCCTGAGTGGCGCACTTCCCGTTCAGACGACTTATGTTCGCGGAAGGAGTTCCTCCCAGGTTCCTGTGTTCATCTCATTTGCCGTTGGTACGACATTGAACAGCACAATAGCTGGAAAATTCCGACGTGACTACTAGAAGGGGCTTTAATGATCTCGATTCGCAAAGGGGGAAAAGAGTAGTATACGCGGTGAGTCACATAGGGGGGGTTTGGTTCCAGGCAGGATGGCATGGAGAAAGCTTAAAGGTGGGGGTAGTATTTGTCGAGGACTGGACAACGGCTTGGCTACTGCTGATGGGCTCGAGAGTAGACAATGCTCTAGCTTTCTGATTTCATCCGCATTCATTTATTGGTTTTCTCGCTCACATTAGTGAAACTTTTACTGTACAAGACTTGCAACCACGAACAATCCCACACCAACCCAATCAATCAAGCGACGTAAAACACCAAGATGGCCAGTAACCAAGCCCCTTGTCCTTTCGGTTACATACTATTGCCAAGCTGCACCGCAACCCCAGTGCCCCCAAAATGCAGTACCCAGGTATGCCAACTAGCGACTGCCCGTTCTGTGTGAGATTCGCGCCAACAAGCGACCGCTTGTCTTGTCTAAGAACCATTGGAGACGAAGGGGTTGCAGGAGGGTGTGTCTAAGAGGAGAGCCCTGACAAACGCACGTCATCGAACCCTCATTGTTATGCACGCATAGAAAGTGACGCCGACGGCGACGGAAACGAAGAGAATCGCGACGGTAACCACCAGGAACTGCGACCAGGCGAGAGTGGGCGGACAGCTCGTCGCGCACTCATACCGAATGTAACGGTCTGGAAGGTCCGAAGGGGGCGAGACAGGGTAATGGAAGGGAGGGGGGTGGAGACTGGTGAGAACGAGAAACGGTGGAGCTGTCAGGAGGTGGGTGGAGAATGGTGATCTGAGGAAGCTTCTAGGTGAAGAGGAACAAACGACGGATGCTATGCGATAAGCGGGACCTATGTTGTTGGGAGACAAGGGTGACTCACACGACGTGCTCCAGGCGGGTCTGAAATACGCGTTACAAGATGGGGGTGTATCGGCCACGCATGCCTGTTAGTCGTTGGAACGCAAGAGGGGACAAAGGTGGAAAACGGGGATGCTGAGAGCAGTTGATGATATTTGATGAAGTAACACGCAGTGAGAACAAACAATCACAGCGGTATCGCGCATCAGTTGAGGTGTCTCAACAAACATACTCTCATCCACAAACAGGCTGTATGTGCACTGAGGCGCTTCCAAGTAGACCACATCGAGTCCAGAAAAACGAAGTTCCTGCCGGACGGAACGGGTCAATGCGTGTAAGCATCGCAGTGCTGTCGTGCCTCATGCCGCGCGCACCCGTTCCCGGAACGCCCTTACAGTAGGAGCACTCTGACCTTGCGTGCGCCATGTGATTGTGCATCTGATTTGAGACGTCGCTAAACAAATTTACAATCCCGCCCGTGCCGATAACGCCCCTTACTAGGAGCACGCTGACCTTGCGTGCGTCATGCGTGCGCCGTGCGTGCACGGTACCGCGCTGCCGGTGCTAAAGGCGACTCTTTGATTGGCTCACAAGTGCACCGCGGAACATGCAGTACCGAATTTTATGAGGCGATTCTTGGTTCGACCCGAACTCACCTCCTCATGCGGCCTTACTGTGCAAAGCTGAACGCAACATGCAATGCTTGACGCACAGCGCAATGATTGACCCGCTGTCCAGTGCTTAATTCACCGCGCAATATGCAATGCTTGAACGCACAGCGCAACACTCGACGTACCGTGCAGTGCTTGACGCATTTGGCGTTGGCGTATTCCGTCCCCGGCACCGTGCACGCCGTGATGCACGACGACGCCGCGACCCGCGTCGTGAAGCACGGCGCCACCAGAAGCACGAGAAGAACGAGTAGCACAGTGCGTTGCATGGCTACTTCTAGGCGGCCTGGTAGTACGGCGTCTCGAGTCCGCAAAGAGGAAACGGGCAACAGACGGCTAAATAATACTGGTATCGCTGGATGGGGAATCGTCGGTGGAAGAAATATTGGCGACTCCTCAGCGTGCCGAGATGCGCTGTATGGGGATGTTTCGAAGCGCTTTCGTGCTGGAAAGGACAGTCAAATGAAGGAAACGCACTTCATTACAAGCATTGCACCATAGAGCTTCGATTATTGCGTAGGGACCTTTCGAGACCTTCAGAGCCTCTGATCGGACTTGACGAGCTAGTGATATCTTTTTGACTGAGCAAACGAGGAGAGTAAATTGGTACTGTATAAACTCAACTGTGATTCTCTCTCCGCGTCTGGCATTTGGTGAGCGCGAGACGGATAGCCTTTTTTTCGGATTCAGAGGCTGCTTCGGCAAACGAACTGCCGTCCGCATTCGTCGGTTCGGAGGGACTCGGATCGGGTGCCAAGGACAAGTCCTGCTCGGTGTGCTGTGCTGCGTGCGTGCAGGGGGCTGCTCAACAAAAAGCTTCACGCTCCCGAGCGTCAAGGCAACTCTGAGAACGCACGACGTGAAATCAGGAGACATTTGGGCCGTTCGGCTTGAAATCGAAATGAATCCCGAATCGGGTGCGGCGCGACGGCGAAGGGCGGACGATGTTTGCACGTGGGTGGGTTGGGAAAAATTGTGGCAGGCTTGCTAGAAAACGTGTACGTAACACTACACTTGGCTCATTTTCCAATGGAAATCGAAAATTTTTGTGCCAGCCGGGAATCGAACCCGGGTCTGCACCGGGCTTTTGTGGCAGGGTGCTATTCTACCACTAGACCACTGGCACGTGTCTCGCATGCACAAAGTTAGTTATCAAAAACATATTTAAATATACTTGCATTCCTCTTTCAAATGTGCAAGTTGCTGCATGCCTCTCATTCGATATCTGTGTAATTTGTCCGCCATGGCTCCATTTACCTCGAGATATCCGAATGGAGGCTTGGAAACCACATTCTTCTACGAACTTCCCAATGATGGACCTCGAAACCACATGAACTCGTCTCGCAACAGGTACGTCGTCCTGCGGGACTGACCATTATCCATTCTGCGGCGAAGGTTGTCACATGATAGCTCGTGACTCTTCCTGGAAGAGAGTTTTTGTTTTTCAATTTAAATGCCGCAAGGATGTCGATTTGCTGTTTCATGCCATTTGTTCTCTGGAGCGTGTTCCTTGCTCAGAATCCAGTGTCCGCTGCGGATGTCGCCCAAGATAAAATAAATGGCGGAGATGAATTTTACGAGGTCCAACCCCCGGAAACCCGTCATGGTCTTCTCATCTTTAAAGATGACGTCTCAGGAATTACTGGAACGAGCATCTCAGATGCTGAGACCAGGTTACGCAATCAAGCTGGCGTGTTCAGGTATAGAGGCGGGTTGAACATAATATCGACTCAAGTGCAAGAGGCAAGGCCCGCTGTCAACGGCGCCGAGCCGAAGTGCCTTAGAAGCACGGCTCAGTACCTGTCGATAACTGAAGGCTGGCACCCGTGCGCTTACGACAGCACTGCTGGCTACCGTGCTGTCGGTGCTGGGTACAACTTGGATCAGGATCCAGCTGTTGTCCTGTCCGATTTCAGCCAAATTCGTGCTGATGTTCAAGAGGTAATTGAAGACCGTCCATTGAAGATGCTCCTTGTCATGTACTTTTAGCTATTTCATGCCAACTTTTGCTACCAGAGAGTCGTCTCAATGGTCGATGTTGTTTGCAGGTTTATTCTGGTTCTGAGTGCCTGTCAGGCCCTCAGATCAGCCAGCTGCTGGAGATCAGCGTTAGGAGGCTTCTAGCAACGAAATTGACATCACATTTTGCCATTGACACTAGCAGATTCTGCTGTGACGTTCAGAAGGGTCTTGTTGACATTCTGCTCACCAGCATGCACCTGGATGCAGATAGAAGCGCGTGGCTGGATACCATTGTCAAGACACTGATGAGACATGACTGGAAAGGAGCTGCCAGGCTGCTGATTCAGAGTGCATGGTGTGCAGCGGATGAGTCAAGGTGTGCTGCTGTGGCTGTGCTGCTTGCTGCTGGGTGTGGGACTCTTTGAATGACTAGGTGTTCACTGAGATTTTGCAATTTTGAAAGGCTTGCTAGCTGCTCGATTCTATGCCTGGTTCCTCTGTAGGAAGTTTTTGTGTGTTGTTCCGGTTCCTCCCGTAACGAGGCTTTCACTTTCCAGGAGTGATCAGTCATGCTGCATTTTACGGGTCCACCTCTCTCTCCCTCGCATACATCTCCAAATGGCCCTCCATTTCGTCCCCTTTCGTATCACATGTCCGACGTGTCTGCTCTCCGTCGTTCGCCACGTCAGCGTCAAGCTCACACGACCGCTCGCAACGGTCGCGTCGAGGCGTCCTTGCCACCGCAACTTTTGTTCAAATAATAGTAGCGTAGTCTCCGGTCATTCACGGCCCATAATAGTGTCATTTTCGCCAATAAGCGAGAGTCACATTTCCCGCGACCTTCAATTCCGTAAGAGAGATAGGTCACTAACCAGGACACACAGTGGAAATGGAGAGACCTTGTCTGAACATCCTGAGAAGATCCAGCAGCATGAGCGAGCTGCGCAGCGGAACCGTGACACATCCACCGTTGATCGTCCAGCACAGGGGCATGAAAAGAACGATCGGACGGTTCTCAATGAGCCGCGGGAATGGGTGGGTCTGGGAGCATGGCGAAGCGCAGCGATCCGCACAGACACGTTCTGGGGACCCAAGGGTTCATGCGAACCCCCAACCGCCTCTGACAATTCCTCTGATTCCCCGCGCGGCGCGGGAAACTCCGGAAGTAATGAGGCGATGAAAGCCCGCGGCGGCGGTGTGACGGTTGGGTGGGATCGGATCGCGTTGCCTGCCACGCTGGCGGAGTGCGGCCGAATGGTGCTCGAGTCGCCCGACCCGCGCGTTAAGATCGCCGTCACCCACGCCGCGCACCGCTTGCTCGCCAGCGGCGCGGCGGCCGCAGACGAGTCGGCTGCGGTAGGCAGTCAGGCGGCGGAGGCGGCGGCAGCGGCGGTTGGCGTGGCGACTGCCCCTCCGAAACCCGCGCGGCCGGCGCGGCCAGAGCTGGTAAAGTGGGGGGAAGGCGGGGTAGGCGGGAGTGAAGGTGGGGGGAAGTGGGGGAGAGGGGGAGAGGGGGAGAGGGGAGAAAGCGAATGAGGGGCAACGGGGTTGAGATCGGGACGGGGAAGAAAGCGATGGGGGGATGAGCCTTGGGGAGGCCAGCTTTCTGCATTCCCTTCCTCATCCCCTGCCCCGCACTCCCCCTCCCCTTCCGCCACTCTTCCCATCCCAGTCCCCACCCAACCCCATACCTTTCCTTTCCGCACTCTCCCCCACCCCTCCCCACCCCTCACGACCCCCCCCAACCACTCCTCAGGTTCACCCGCGGGCAATCCCCAAGCCTGGACCCTCCTCCCCCTTACCCTGGCCGGCGCACATGCTGCACAACCTAGCCCACGTGGAATTGAACGCCATTGACCTGGCATGGGATACTGTTGTCAGATTCTCCGCTCTAGGGGCGGAGGGGGAGGGGGGGGACGAGGAGGGGGAAGGGGGAGCCGAGGAGGGGGAAGGGGGAGCCGAGGAGGGGGAGAGGGTGTGGAGTGGAAGGGGTGGGAGGGATGGGGAGGAGGAGGGGAGAAGGGAGAACTTGGAGCAATCATGGAAGCTTCCACGTCAGTTCTTTTTGGATTTTGTACACGTGGCAGATGATGAGAGCAGACACCTGGCATGGTGCCTGCAGCGCCTGGAAGAGATGGGGCACAGGTGGGATGCGGTGCATGCAGGTGGGGTGCGATTCAGGTGGTGTGTGGAGCAGTGCAGGTGGGATGCAGTGAAGGTGGGATGCAGTGCATGTGGGATGTGGGACGCACATGGTGCAGGGTGCTCATGGCTAGTTGTTTGCTGCTCTTATATGTCATGGCCCCACACTCTCCCCATGTTGTCTCTGCCGCTATCCAAGTCCCCCCCATCTCCCCGCCAATTATTTTTTCCCCCATCTCTCTCCGAACTGATTTTTCCCCCATCTCTCCCCCAACTACTTTTTTCCCCCATCTCTCCCCCAACTCATTTTCTCCCGTATCGCCCCCTACTCTTCCCTTATCCCCATCTCATCCCCACCTGCAGCTACGGTGACATGCCAGCTCACAACCTGCTCTGGAGGGACTGCGAGAAGTCGGCCAATCATGTGCAAGACAGGCTGGCAGTCATTCCCATGGTGCAGGTACCACTGGCCAATCACGACGCACCTAGGGATTATTCATCATGTGAAGTCCTTGGTACCGGCCAATGATGTTGCACTTACAGACTATCTTGTACAAGTCGTTGATTGGTGGATTGACCACGTGGGGTGGGGGGTAGCAGCAGCGGTGAGGAGAGGAGAGGGGAGGGGAAAATGGAGGAGAGGAGGAGAGGAGGAATGTAGGAGAGGAGGAGAGGCGGAAAGAAGGAAAGGAGATTGAAAGAGGAGGTCCGTTTGCAGTTCAAGTCGGTTTCGAGTTTTCTCTATCGCTCTTCTAACAAAGAGCCTCCTCACGTTCCCTCTCCTCCGTTCACCCTCCTTCCATGCATCCCTTCTGGCAGGAGGCGAGGGGGTTGGACGCGGGGCCGCGGCTGGTGGAGCGGCTGGTGGGGTTGGGAGACAATAGGAGTGCAGCGGTGGTGGCAATGATAACCCAGGAGGAGGTTGAAAGAGGAGGAATCAAAAGAGAAGACGGCTAAAATTGTTTCCATCCTCCTTCCATCCCTTCTGGCAGGAGGCGAGGGGGTTGGACGCGGGGCCGCGGCTGGTGGAGCGGCTGGTGGGGTTGGGAGACAACAGGAGTGCCGCGGTGGTGGCCAAGATAGCACAGGAGGAGGTGGCACACGTGGCAGTCGGGGTGGCATGGTTTGTCTGGGTGTGCGAGCGCATGGGGGTTGACCCACAGACGTCGTTCACAAGTGAGTGTTGCTGGAGGGGTTGAGTGGGTGGAATTCACAGCTTACAAGCGCATGGTGGCATGGTTTGTCTGGGTGCGCGAGTGCATGGGTGTGGACCCACAGATGTCCTTCACAGGTGAGTGGGGGAGGGGGGGGAGAGGGAGGGACGCGGGTGTGGTGGGTGGGATTCACAGCTTACAAGCGCATGGTGGTGTGGTTTGTCTAGGTGTGCGAGTGCATGGGTGTGGACCCACAGATATCCTTCACAAGTGAGTGGGGGAGGGGGAGGGAGGGAGGGATGCGGGTGTGGTGGGTGGGATTCACAGTGTGAGGACGGACCTGCATACATCCTTTACAGGTTTTCTAGTTTTGAGTCGACTCAAAACTTCACATGTATTCTGATTGTTTCCTAAAGAAGAATGGCTTCTGGGTAAGACCCTTCTCACCTGCTCCCACCACTCCATTCCTCTCTTTCTCTGTGCAGCTGTGATCCGATCCCTGTGCGCTGATGGGGTGAAAGGGCCGTTCAACCATGCAGCTCGTGCCACTGCTGGCCTGTTATGGCCCTGCTTGGACCTTCCTCACATGTACCGCACCCACCTCTCAGACTCTCATACCTACCTCTCCATTCGTCCCTTGTACTTTTCAGGTGTGATTCGCTCCCTGTGCACTGATGGCGTGAAAGGGCCGTTCAACCATGCAGCTCGTGCCACTGCTGGCCTGCCCCAGCGGTCCATACCCTATTCCTGATTGTGTGCATGTCTCAGACTCCTAACTCCAATCCTTCTCCCCCCAAACCCCTTATCTCTGAGCAGGTGTGATTCGCTCCCTGTGTGCCGATGGCGTGAAAGGGCCGTTCAACCATGCCGCTCGTGCCTCTGCTGGCCTGCCACGCCATTGGTACGACCCCCAACAACCCGCCACTGCTGCCCCACTCAATACAGTCACATCCAGCACTGCTGCTGACACACCTGCTTCAGTCACACCTGTTGCACTCACATCAGCTCATGGCCCTTCATTGGATTCATCTGGAGTAGTAGGAGGGGTAAAGGAGGGAACTGGAGTGATGGTGGAAAAACGGTGCTCGGGGCAGCAAGAAGTGGGCAAGAAATGGAGAAAGCTGATGAGCGGGCAGGTGAACCGGGCAGCCCGGGAAAAGATGCGAGATCAGCTGCAGAGGAAGGCAGCTCGCATCGAAGCCCACATCCAACGGTGCGAACGGCTCCTCCAATCAGACAGCGCCACATCATCATCATCCACCTCGTCCCTTTCGACATCAGAAGAAGCGCGTTCCTCACCAGCTGATTCTCTCGAAGCTCCGTTCCCCGCCTCCTCTGCCTCCTCTGCCTCCTCTGCCTCCTCTTCCTCCTCTGCCTCATCCTCCCTGATCTCCACCTCATTATCACTTCCAGTCTCACCTTCCCTTTCGGAATCGGCATCCATGCAAGCGTTTCCCTCCTCATCCAATCGCCCATCGCCTTTGGGTGCCTCCCAAAACGCCATGCCTTTGCCCTCATCGTCCCATCACCGATCGGCCCCTCAGCCACAGCTTTTAGAGAGTGTTGAGAAAGAGAACTCCTCGTCGCATCCCCCTTACAAGCTGTCTCCTCAAGTGAAACAGGACTTGAAGCAGCAGCAGAGTCATTCCCTGAAGCAGCTCTCAGAGGTCAGTCTAGCTGTGACGTTTGAGTCATCTCAGAAGAAGTTATTTTTCCAGTTTGTCTTGTTTCCAATTCTGCTTTCTTTTGATGTCTGAAATTCTTAATCTTCTTTCTCACCGCGTGTGTGCTGTCAGGTGCACCGTCGCTTGGCCCTGCTCATCTCCTTTGAGGACCGCTGAGCACCGCCGAGAACTGCTGAGAACCGCCGAGGACCGCTGAGCACCGCTAGTCTGCTACTGAGCACTGCTGAGACCACTGAACTTCGCTGAGGACCACTGAACACCGCTGAGGAACACTGAGCACCGCTGAGGACTGCTGAGCTCCACTGAGGTCTGCTGAGGAGTGCTAATCCGCTCAACATGTGAGAACTGCTGAGAACTGCCGAGGGCTCAAGATGTGGTAATGATGGTTCAGCTCGCTGGATGAATAAATGTGGCCCCACTCTGCTGGCACGAGCTGTGAAACTCATGCTGTACGCAAAACAAGCCAAGTTTTGTTTAAACCCTACATCTACACTCAAACCTTTTTGTAACTCCTGGCTCTGATAACTTGAGCACAGCACTACCTGGTAACTAGAAACTAGGAGTGTACGCATGGCACACTTGGGTCTTTGGCCTTCTTAGAGTCAAGCTCCCAGAATATTGCACCCAGAATCATGCTCCTACCAACTCAGATTTATATTGTGTACAAAAATGCTCAAAATTTGAGCCATAGGCAGTGGCTGCAGCCGCCATTGCTCTATGGCTTGACTAAGCTACAAGTAACTGGAGGAGATTGTGGGACGAGCGAGTTGATAGATCAGAGGGTTCGGCCTAGCTCATGCGCGGCCAGTTTCTGTGGGAAGAGAGAGAGAGGAGAGGGGGGAGAGAGAGAGAGAGAGAGAGAGAGAGAGAGAGAGAGAGAGAGAGAGAGAGAGAGAGAGAGAGAGAGAGAGAGAGAGAGAGAGAGAGGAGAGAGAGAGAGAGAGAGAGAGAGAGAGAGAGAGGAGAGAGAGAGAGAGAGAGAGGAGAGAGAGAGAGAGAGAGAGAGAGAGAGAGAGAGAGAGAGGGAGAGAGAGAGAGGAGAGAGAGAGAGAGAGAGAGAGAGAGAGAGAGAGAGAGAGAGAGAGGGAGGGAGGGAGGGAGGGAGGGAGGGAGGGAGGGAGGGAGGGAGGGAGAGAGAGAGAGAGAGAGAGAGAGAGAGAGAGAGAGAGAGAGAGAGAGAGAGAGAGAGGGAGAGAGAGAGAGAGAGAGAGAGAGAGAGAGAGAGAGAGAGGAGAGAGAGGAGGGTGGGTGGAGGGGAAGACGGGATGGGACAGAGGCAATTGAGAGAGAGAGAGAGAGAGAGAGAGAGAGAGAGAGAGAGAGAGAGAGAGAGAGAGAGAGAGAGAGAGAGAGAGAGAGAGAGAGAGAGAGGGAGGGAGGGAGGGAGGGGGGGAGAGAGAGAGAGAGAGAGAGAGAGAGAGAGAGAGAGAGAGAGAGGAGAGAGAGAGAGAGAGAGAGAGAGAGAGAGAGAGAGAGAGAGAGAGAGAGAGAGAGAGAGGAGAGAGAGGAGGGTGGGTGGAGGGGAAGACGGGATGGGACAGAGGCAATTGAGGGAAATGCGAGTTGATAGATCAGAGGGTTCGGCCTAGCTCATGCGCAGCCAGTTTCTGTGGGAAGAGAGAGAGAGGAGAGTGGGCGAAGAGTAAGGGGAGGAAAGGTGGATGGGGGAGGGATGCAGTGTAGGTGGGGGAAAGGCGGACTTGGGAGCATCGGATCTGATTTTTTTACATGCAGGGCATACTACTAGTATCAATACGAGGCACACGTGCACTCATGCGGTCGACACACGCTCGCAACATCATCACCCACACGATTTTGATGCAATCACACATGCAACCACACATGCTATCACACATGCTCAAAACGAGACGCAAAGTTACCAGGATAATGCCTCGATCTGCAGCACAATAATGCCTGGAAGGTCCTGCCTCGTTATAAGCACATACCAGAACAAGGTACTGCCGATGAAGATCCACTGCTCGTTTACAGAGCTTCTTCACGTCCCACGACCCTGCTGCTGCATTGAAGCTCTGAAAGACATTCACAGGGAGGGGAGGGGGGGGAGAGGCACAAGAAAAGGAGTTTAAAGCTTGTTGAAGCAAAAGAATAGAGATCCACTACTCTTTTACACAGCTTCATCACGTCCCACGACCCTGCTGCTGCATTGAAACTCTGAGAGACACTCGCAGGGAAAGGGGGAGGGGAGGGGAAGAAGGGAGGTAAGCACAAAAGGAGGAGAGAACACATGGGCCAGGGGAGAAAAGCCACATGTATGAAGATTGGTTTTGAGACGTCTCAAAACCGATCTTCATAGAGGAGAGAACACATGGGCCAGGGGAGGAGAAGGGAGGGTGGTGGGGACAGACAAGGGATAATGGGAACTTTCATTTTTGAGGCGTGCAAAAAAAGGGCAAACCACCAGGAAAGTGCGGTAAACAGGGAGAATGAGCGCTTTTGCGGTTCGCACACACACACACACACACACACACACACACACACACACACACACACGCACGCACGCACGCACGCACGCACGCACGCACACACACACACACACACACACACACACACACACACACACACACACACACACACACACACTCGGGTCCCCCACCCTGTCCAACCGTATGCCCAACCAGCAAACCGCAGACAATCCCCCCCCATTCACACACAACCCATCCCCACCCCCTTCCATTCACACAGCCTCACAACCCCTCGCCTACATCACTACCCCAACCTATACCCAGGACTCCCCCACTGCTGCCCCACACCCACACGCCCTCCCCTCTCTCTCCTTCCCCCCTTTACACTCACATTGACCACATCATCGAGCCCAGTAGCGTCATCAATGAACTCGTCCCTCAGTTTGAGCACAATGGCGAGCACACAGTAGGTGGTCATGCGCTCCTGCTCCTCCCTCCGCACATACGGCACACCACCACCGCTATGCCCTCCCATTCACACACAGCCCAACCCACCCACCCTCCACTCACATGCATCACCCAACCAGCCCCCAGGGCGCTGGCCTTCACCAATTCCAACCCCGCCCGCCCCCTCTCTCCCCTGCAAACCCCCTCCCTCCCCCTTTACACTCACATCCACCACATCGTCGAGCCCAGAGGCGTCGTCGATAAACTCGTCCCTCAGTTTGAGCACAATGGCGAGCACACAGAAGGTCGTCATGCGCTCCTGCTCCTCCCTCCGCACGTACGGCACCGCCACCCCCGCCGACTCTGGAAGAGCATAGAACGCCGACGGCTGCGGGGGCACTATCGCCCCCGCCTCCTCTGCCGCTGCTGCCGCCGCATCTGCTGCACTTGCTCCTGTTACCGCTCCTGCTTCTGCTGCTTTTTCTACTGCTGTTTCTGCTGCTTCTAGCGCGGATTCGGTTGTTGCTGCTGAGGGCGCCTGCTGTGGTGTGGGGGAAGCAGGTGCAGCGGTGTGGGGGTGCTTCTTGCTGCCTCTTCTTCCAAGCCCGAACGATCCTGTCCGTCGATGAGCCTTCGGAGGCAGATTCAGCTGCGGCGGAACTGAAGCTGTACCAGCACCACCAGCAGCAGCAGCAGCACCGGCACCGGCACCGGCACCTGCACCGGCAGCAGCAGCATAAGTTGGTGTGATTGGTCGGCCGGCAAACGCCGAGACAGCAAACACCACAGCATCACCCGGCATGGCAGCTGTAGCAGCAGCCGTACCCACCGGTCCTGCGAGCTTCTGCGCCTTGTGCCAGAGAGCCACAGCAGAGCGCCGCGAGGAGAGGTACTTGGCACTCTTGCTTGCAGCTAGCTTGCCAGCAGAAGCATCTAGAGTAACGTAACGGATCACGTCTTTCCTGTACGGCCCCACGCCCGCCCAGCTGCGGGAGCGAGCCCCATCTATGGCCCGGCTGCCTGTGCTGTTGTTGGTGGTGGGGGGGGTGGTGGCGGCGGCGGGGACTTTGCGCTCGCTGTGGTGCTTTCGGGAGGGGAGGCGGTTGGCGGGGAGTGAGGGGGTGCTGGCGCGGGAATTAGCAGCACTGCCGCCACCGGGACCGGCAGGGTCGGACGAGGAGTTCCTTTTGGTGTCCGTGAGAGCGCCAGAGGTGACTGCTGCTTCCACACTCGCCCATGCTGCTGCAGTGGAGCGTGTGCCTGCAGGGGTGGTGGCATGGGGTGGTGGGGTGAGGTGATGGGGTGATGAAGTGATGATAGGGTGATGGGGGGGTCACGCAACGATGGGATGTGGGACAGTGGATTAGAGAAATTCTGTCTGGTGTTTGTGAGAGCGCCTGAGGTGACTGCTGCTTCCACACTCGCCCACGCTGCTGCAGTGGAGCGTGTGCCTGCAGGGGTGATGATGGGTGATCAAGTGATGGTGGGGTGATATGGCATGGGGTGATGGCATGGGGTGATGGCATGGGGTGATGGCATGGGGTGATGGCATGGGGTGATGGCATGGGGTGTGATGGCATGGGGTGTGATGGCATGGGGTGTGATGGCATGGGGTGTGATGGCATGGGTTGATGGCATGGGGTGATGACACGGGGTAATGTCGTGGGATAATGGGGTGCCTCATCACATTGCCATCACAACACATCACTCACATGACGCACACTGGCTTGCCTAAACACCCTAACCTACACCTTGTACCTGCTCCCACCTGAACCCCTTCCCGCTCTCCTAGTTTCACAATCGTTATACAAGTGCCCCACAGCTGTCAAAAGAGGACAGTCGGGCTGCGGAGGTCTTATTTCCATTCTAACTTCGAAGTGTTAGACAAGTTCCCCACAGCTCCATCATTTCAAAATGCCCCACAGCTCCATCATTTAAAAATGCCCCACAGCTCCATCATTTCAAAATGCCCCACAGCTCCGTCATTTCAAAATGCCCCACAGCTCCGTCATTTCAAAATGACCCACAGCTCCGTCATTTCAAAATGCCCCACAGCTCCATCATTTCAAAATGCCACACAGCTCCATCATTTCGAGAATGTATTGGAAAACGTATCAGAGCTGCATCATGTTAGAATGTTGCAAAGCCCACCTGATCTCAGGGGGCTGGCCCTCCCTTTTCCCCCCTGCTGCCCCTCCTCCTCTCTCCCAGCAACCCTCCCCACCGCAGCAACGGCAGCCAGTTTGATGCCCCCAACGGCATCCCATGCCCCCCAGCCCCCCTCCCAGCTTACCTGGTCTCAAAGGGCTGGCCCTCCCTTTCCCCCCCTGCTGCCCCTCCTCCTCCCTCCCAGCAACCCGCACCACTGCAGCCGCAGCACCGGCCATCCGGGCAGCACCAGGCGTCACCCCGTCCACCCCAGATCTCCCAGAAGACGAGACGGCCGCAGCAACAGCTTCCGCAGCAGCAGCCTTGGCAGCAGCTTTGGCCGCACCAGATGGGATCGCTTCGACCCCAGAGGAGCCAGAGCCAGAGCTCTCACACGCTGCCACGGCCGCTGCGGCTGCTTCTGCAGCAGCGGTGGTGGCGGCCGCAAACGAGTTTTGGTGGAGGGCATGCGGGGAGGCGGCGGAATGAGGGAAGTTCACGGCGTGGTGATTTAACACGGATTGGTCCGCCATGGCTAGTAGATCCGCATCCCGAGCATCGTAATCCCACGACCACATCATCTGGAAGGGAAGTGGGGAGAGGGAGAGAGCGAATGGCGAGGGGTAGGGGGGGGGGAGGGTGTGTAGTCGAACATCATAGTCCCATGGCCACATCAGCTGGAGGGGAGGGGGGGGGAGAGGGGACGGTGTGGGGAGGAGTAGTGCATGGCCATAAAGGGACGTGGCAATAAGGGGGCTGGCCAGTGCGGGGTAATGCAACCCAGAATAGAAAACACAGCCTCTACCTCTCAACAGTAAAAAATGCATATCAGAAGCACATGCAATCAGAAGAACAGGACGAAATTTTCTCAATTCTCAACTTGCAGCAAAGTGGGACACCTTCCAAAAATAACAGTGGATGCTAAAAATGGCAAGCAGGGCAGCAGCAGTGGTACCTTCCAGAAATAGATGGAGTCGGCAAAGGAGAGCTTGCGGGGGAACATGGCCATGATGGGGCGCACTGTAAGGAACATGGTGCCCAATACTTTCAAAAATAGCAATTGATGCTAAAAATAGCAGGCAGGGCAGCAGTGGTACCTCCCAAAAGTAGATGGAGTCAGCGAAGGAGAGCTCCCGGCGGAACATGGCCATGATGGGGCGCACTGTGAAGAACATGGACCCCGCTCCTATCTCGTCTGCCGGGGGGATGGGGGAAATGATAACCGAGGCCAGGGGGGATGGGGGAAATGATAACCGAGGCCAGGGGGGATGGGGGAAATGATAACCGAGGCCAGGGGGGATGGGGGAAATGATAACCGAGGCCAGGGGGGATGGGGGAAGTGATAACCGAGGCCAGGGGGCACAGAAGGATGGCCATGATGGGGCGTGCTGTGAAGAACATGGAATTCGCCGCTAAAAGCACCTACCTAACTGAACGGAACAATACCTAGATGGGCGAATAGCTCTGGATCAGGCCCGCGGGTGATGTTCTTAAGGTTACAGTACTCTGTGTGGGTTTTGAGACGTCTCAACGCTCGGGGTGAAAGCACGCGGGTGATGTTCTCGAGGTTACAGTCCTCTGTGTGGATGCAATGCACACACATGGTAAACTGAGCAGTACCTACCCAGCGGTACTTACCTAGCGGCACCTACCTAGTTGAGTCGGTAAGTACCAAGATGGGCGTAGAGCTCAGGGTTGAGCACGCGCGTGATGTTCTTGAGGGTGCAGTGCTTGTGTGGGAGTAGACATGGGCACGAGTCGAGTCGAGCCGAGTCGCCTCGAGTTGTATTCGAGTCGGGAGTTATGTCGAGTCGAGTCGAGCCGAGTCGAGTCGAGTCGAGTCGAGTCGAGTCGAGCCGAGCCGAGCCGAGTCGAGCCGAGACGAGCCGAGTCGAGCCGAGTCGAGTCGAGCCGAGTCGAGTCGAGTCGAGTCAAGCTGAGTCGAGTCGAGTCGAGTCGAGTCGAGTCGAGTCGAGCCGAGTCGAGCCGAGTCGAGTCGAGTCGAGTCGAGTCGAGCCGAGTCGAGTCGAGTCGAGTCGAGTCGAGCCATAGTCAGATCAAAAACAAATAACTGCCGACTCGTGTTCGACTTCTGCGGTCGAGTCAGGCCTTGACTCGAGATCGAGTCACTCGACTCGCGAGTCTGTCTTGACTCGACTTAACCTTAGGTATTTTCAAGGGGCGCACCCCCCCCCAAAAAAGCAGTCGCGTTCAGATCTGAATTCGCGATGTGCCTGCAACAACAAAAGATAGTTGTCGCCACTTCATGCAAGGTAGTAATGTCAAAATGTCTCCCCCCCCCCCAACCCCCCATCCGCCCTAGTCGTTTTGTGCACACATGAAATTCAGTGACGGGGGGAATTCAGTGGGGTTGGGGGAAGAAATTGAATGACGGAAGGACTGCGCATGAGGGGGGAGGGAAATTGAGTGACGGGGGAAAGGAAACTGCATGGCGAAATTGACAACGGGAACCCGCACAATTGAAATTGGTGATTACCGAGTCAGCTTAGCAGGAATCGAACTCGTTGCTGACTCGACTCTCTGAAGTCGAGTCAGACGATGCATCGACCTTTCCCCTAATGTCGACTCGACTCGACTCGTCTCGAGTCAAAAAAATATTCTAACTGACTTGACTCGATTTTGAGTCGAGTCGAGTCAGCGAGTCGAGCCAAAACTCGACTTGACTGCCCATGTCTATGTGGGAGGGTGCACACACATGGTTCAACCACACACAGAGCTTGATAAGTACCAAGATGCGCGTAGAGCTCGGGGTCGAGCACGCGCGTGATGTTCTTGAGGTTGTCAATCTCCTTCTGCACGCCTATGCTCGCTGATGTTCCCATGAAGTCGCTCCGCTGCATGGTGCACGCACGGGCAAGGCAAGATGCACACACAGGGCAAGACAAGATGTGCACGCAAGGGGGAGTTGTGAGGCGCGGCGCCTCAAAGCTCGTTCTTGAGGTTGTCAATCTCCTTCTGCACCCCTATGCTCGCTGACGTGCCCAGGAAAGCCATGGCCTTCTGCACGGCACAAACACATGGGAAAGACAAGGCTCACGCACACACACAGGGCGAGATGCTTGTGAGTGAGGCGCCTGAGAAAACTCATTCTTGAGGCTATGCTGGCTGACGTGCCCACGAAGTCGCTCCTCTGCATGGCACAAACACATGGGAAAGACAAGGCACACACACAAGGTCGAAAGTACCACAATCCCTCCCCCCATCCCTCCCTCCCTTCCCCTCTCCCTCCCTCACCCCCTCCCCTCCCACTCCCCCTTCCCCCCCCTCTCTCCCCATATCCGTGGACCGACAATGGGGCACGGGAACCTTCCCTCCCTCCTCCCCTCCACTCCACAGTCCACTCCACCGCCCCCCCCCCCCCTCTCCCCCCCTCCCCATGTCCGTAGGCCTACAATGGGGCGCAGGAGGCGTTCGAAGCACCAGAAAGCATCAGCGTTGTTGGGGAAGATGACAATGAAGGGCGACATGAGGTCGCTCATACCTGCACAGGGAGGGAGGGAGTTGGGCGAAAGGGTTGGGGTCGAGGGGCAATAAGGAAGGAAGGAGTGGAAGGAATGAAAGGTGAGGTGTGACAATGAAGGGCGACATGAGGTCGCTCATGCCTACTCGCGGAGGGATGGGAGAGATAGTTGGGCCAGGTTGGGAGGGAAATAGACAGGAGTGGGGGGAAAAATGACGATGACAGGCGACAAAAAGTCGTTCGTGCGTGATCACAGTGAGATGGGCGGCGGTGGTAGGTAGGGAGTGAGAAGGTAAAGGTATGAAGCAGGGAGGTACGAATGCTGGGAGACATGAGGTTGCTCACGCCTGCATTGGACGCGACGGAGGGTTGCGAGGTGGGAGAACAGCCAAGGGAAGGGAACCCACTACAATGATCACCCCAATCCATCCCACCTTGGCGGTACCCCAATCCATCCCACCTTGGCGGTACCCCAATCCATCCCACCTTGGCGGTACCCCAATCCATCCCACCTTGGCGGTACCCAAATCCATCCCACATTTGCGGTGCCCCAACAGCCAGCACCTCACAACAACAACAATCACCCATCACTCATCACCCACGATCCATGACTAAGCCCGCCCCACCCCACCAGGACCCACCTTGACAGTACCCCACGTCAGGGTCGAACCAGGAATAAACCGCTAAAACCTCCATCAGACGCGAGCGGTTGCCCTCCTCCTCGTAGAACACGAGCGTGCGATCCGCCCTCTGCACGTCCACGCCTATCTGATGCAGCCCCAAGCGCCACTTGCGCACCCGCTCCTCCCCCACGCGCCCCACCAGCCTCTCCCGCTCCGTCAGCACCGCACTCTGCCCCTCTCCACCGTCCCGCCCTGCTGCTCCTCCTCCATTCACATCTACATGTGTGGAAGAGGGGTCGTCGATGTGCGGGCCGCTGTAGTAGGAGGGGAGAGGGACGTCAGAGCCGTCCTCGAGCACGCGGGGGAAGTCCACGACCACGCCACTGCCCACCACCGGATCCACCTCGTTGCACTCCTGCTTCAACCTCGCATAGAAATCACTGTTGTTGGTGGTGGGGGAGGAAGGGGAAGGAAGGGGGGGGTGGGGGGGGGCGGACGGGGGTTAGACGCAGCAGCAGCGGGGGCAGAAGCAGCAGCAGCAGCGGCGGCGGCTGCGGCGGCAGCGGCAACAGAGCAGGGGCGTGGTAGTAGGAGGGGAGGGGGACGTCAGAGCCGTCCTTGAGCACGCGAGGGAAGTCCACGACCACGCCACTGCCCACCACCGGATCCACCTCGTTGCACTCCTGCTTCAACCTCGCATAGAAATTACTGTAGTTGGTGGCGCGGGGAGGGGGAGGGGCGTGGGAGGTCGGAGGGGGAAAGAGGGAGTGGGCATAAGAGGGAAGTAAAAGGGCCACTCACTGTCCACCACCGGATCCACCTCGTCGCACTCCTGCTTCAACCGTGCATAGAAATCAGTGCTTGGAGTAGGAGGGAGTGTAAAGGAAGTTGCGGATGTGGGTTCCTATCAATGTGTGATGCCTCCTCGTGGAAAATGGAGAGCGGAGAGAGAGAAATGATGCCTCAGTGCACTGACTCTCTCACAGCCGTGCCTCTCTCACAGCCGTGCCTCTCTCACAGCCGTGCCTCTCTCACTGGAGTGGTTTCCTCACCGCCGTGCTTCCCTCATGGCGTCCCGCTCCTCGTGGGTGCTGTTGGGCGAGTATAGCCCCAGGAGGAACAAAGAGTGAGAGGGAGAAATGATGCCTCACCGCCGTGCTTCCCTCATGGCGTTCCGCTCCTCGTGCGTGCTGTTGGGCGAGTATAGCCCCAGGAGGAACAAAGAGTGAGAGGGAGAAATGATGCCTCACCGCCGTGCTTCCCTCATGGCGTTCCGCTCCTCGTGCGTGCTGTTGGGCGAGTATAGCCCCAGGAGGAACGGCCACACCTCGCCTCGAATGCTCGGCTCCACGCCCTGCCAAGATGGACGAGGGAGAGAGATATGCGTGAGAAGGACTTTGAGACGAGTTGGGGGAAAGAAAAAGGAGCAGGTGAAAGGAAGCGGAAAGAGAAGGAAGGGGAGACATGAGAAAGGAAGATGGAAGGAAAAGAGAAAGGCCGAGGTGATAACACCATGATGAGATGATACATACGTGCCACAGCATCCCATGACATACATGTCATACCATCCCATGACATACATGACATACCATCCCAAAACATACATGCCATAGCATCTCATGACATACATGCCATGTCTCCAAACCCTCGCTGATCATTTCCTCGCCCCACCCTCTTCCCTGTATGTGTTTCAGCACCCACTCCTCCTCGCTATAAGAGCACACCCCTCGCTAAGCACCCACCCCTCAAGGGGATCAGCGCACTCCCCTTGCAACAAGCACACATTCCTCTCCCCTCGCGAAGCACGCACCCCTCGCTGTATGTGCTTGAGTGCAGCATCAACGGCCCACACTCGCCCGAACTCGTCTTGACAGGCCTCCCATCTCTCCGTTGACAGTCGCTTTTTCACCTGCACACAGTGTGTGATAGTAACGGGGGTTGCAATGCAAATGAGGGAGAGAGGGGGGGCAACGAAGAGAGAGCGTAGGGCGGACGGGAGGGGAAGAGGGGGAGGGAGGTGGAAGAAGAGGAGAGGTTAGGAATAGAAGCACGAAGAGGATACGGAATTGAGGTTAAGTGCTTGATGCTGAAGGCCTGGGGCAATCGTCAGTCTTGGCGATGGTTGATTGGTGGTCTCGTAAAAATTATTGACGGTTGAATGTGGTTGCTGACGGCTTCCTATAGTTCACTGACGGTCTGATATCATTTATTGACGGCCTGGTTCGATTGTCTGGCTGTCTGACATGCCTGACTGACGCTAAGATGCGGTTGACGGGTAGTCTCTTGAGATTGACTGACGACCCGAAAAGCTTCGTCATTGACCTGAAGAAGCACGAAATTAGTCAAAATGGCTTGCCGAATCGTCTTCCCTACGAAGCTCCTTCGCCTTCGTTAAGTAACTCTTTTCCTCCCTTTAGGACTAATCTCCTCCTCTATGACTCATTGCCTCTTAAAATAATCAATTCCTTCTCCTTACCCGAGGACGGAACTTGCTGACTTGAGTGACGTCAACGTCCTTTCTCACGGGGTACTCCTGGTCCAGATCCTCCGATACACGCGACCCCTTTATAAGCCTCGAGAAGAACGACATTGCACCTGGTCCTTCAGGAAACCGGATTAAGAATGAACAGATCCCGCCGTCGCGCTGCTAGCCGCCTGACGCAGATGTGCCTAAAACTGGAGCCGTCCGACTGGCTAGGACACTACGAGCTAAGCCGCATCAGGCAATTAGTCTAACGCGTGTGTTTGCCACCATCGTCGCAGCTTTACCAGGCTGTCACGGAACCTAACGCTTCGTGCTTCAGTGTTTTTTCTAGGACGGCAACGCAGAATTCTCGCGAATAGCAATACATATGGCCGATGCTAGTGATGCGAGTCGCACAGACCTCCCTTCGAGAGTTTGCGATAGTCAACGCGGAATTGTTGCAGAGCTTGAGTAGAAGTGAACTACCTACGGTCTTCAGGTTGCATATAACTCTGACATGTAGTTACGATATGGTCTTCAGTTATGCCCTACCAGTTCGGTTGGGATATGACAAAAAGCCTGCCCCAACCGATGTTGTGTGACTGGCATCAGGAACCGGCTCGCTCGCAACGCAACCAAACCGAACATATGAATCGTGGCTTCAGAAGGATGGGTTTGGTTGGCCAGAAGGCTGCGAAATTCCCGAGGCTGCCTGTACCTATACCAAGGCCAATGGTTGACTGCCTAATAGGCCTACACCCTCTTCTCGCCATTGTGAAATCGGTTATAAGATGGGAAGAGTACGGTTGACGGTGGTTTAAGTAAGTTTCGCTATGGTTCAATTAGGCAAATCAAAGATAGCAAGGTTTTCCACCAGTTCGGCACAGTTCAGTGTAGGGAGAAACAGGGTGTATAAGCCTGCTACCTGTTGTTCTGGGAAGAGAAATGTCGCGTCCCAAGCCAACTGACCGGGATAAGAATACAAGCTTCATATCAGAGCAATCAATCCAGCCTGACTAAAGGGAATATATAAAACAGGTCCATCTTACCTAGTTAGACGCATTCTAGCCTACTTGGCACAAAGTGTGGCGCTATTGGTGTGAAGTTAATAGGGTCCTTGTATAACTTGATATATGATGCACGGTATATGTCTGTTATAACTCACTGATGCTTCACCGCTTCATTAGATGCTGCGACCGGGACAGGCCCAAGTGGAGAGATGTCCACTGGGCTCTGTGCTCCACTCCCACCATCTGAACCATGAAATGGAGATGGCAGCACACACTGCAAACACAAGGAAACATAAGTGAGTCAGCACAAAGAAACACAACTTACTCATGGATGGCATTCCGCATCAATCTATCTAACGTGCAATGCAAGCCTGGCTCAGCAAACTAACTCACATTTGGCGATGCTCTGGAACGCATCTGAGAAAGTTGCCCCATCTTCGCTCCTTCGCCAGACACCAAGCAGCAGGCGTCCTTCCCATCAGCGATAACAACCTCCTCGTTGCAGCTCCCACTGACACATGTTGGCCTTTCCACCCCCTTTCCTGCACCCGCATCAGATCTCGCCTGCAATACAACCACTCCATTGGCAATAACCTGGCTCCCTTGCTTCTGTGCGTCCACATCCATGGGAGCAGCGCCAATCTGCTTGTCCCCTTTCATGAGGGTACCAGCAGCACTGTCATGCACAGTCGATCTGCACAGTACAAGGAGCATCAGCAGACAGGTAGTTAGAGGCCTGAAACCCTGGAGAACTAACCCGCGGGGAAATGCAGTGGCCCAGGCTTCACTCACCCACTAGTTTTGGAAGATCCCTGGATGTTCCCCATTTCCCGTTGCTGTGGCGATGCATTAGCCATGGCAGCAACAACAGCAGGGTTGACAGTACGCGTAGAAGCGAGTGTGTTGGGTTGAGTGTTGGGTTCAGATTGGGTCAGTTTCGGGCTTGGCTGTACCACGGAAACGACTCCAGGCAGGGACCCAGCCAGAGGGGAACCAGCAGGCAATCTTTCCTGCTGCTGCTGCTGCTGCTGCTGCTGCTGCTGCTGCTGCTGTTGCACCTGCTGAGAGCGGCCCTCCACAGCATGAGCAGGGGGCGGGAGAGCAAGAGGAGGCGGGTGTCCGCCTGCCACTGCCCCGGTGGGTGTAGACACCACAGACACCACTCCTGTGGGCAAAGGCACTGGGGAAATCACATCTCTGGTGGACACACACACCACAGCTGTAGGCACACAGACGACACCTGCAGGCTCAGAAGCCGCACCAGCAGCAGAGGCTGGCGCCGTTACCACCCCGTGACACGGCTCACCCTCCCTCCTTCCATTCCCCTCGCCCGTTGCCCCACTCTTCTCCGCACCACCACCCCCTCCCACGCGCCCTCCCGCAACCCATCCACACGCATCATTCTCCCTTCCTGCTGCACACTCCGCAGACGCAAAATCTCCACCGCTGTTGCCACTCGACGGACTGCCTGTCCTGTCGGCAACCCCGCCAGCCCCACCACTAGTCCCCACCCCACCACCCCCTGCACTGGCGTCCATCACACCAGTGCTGGCGCCCCGCCCATCGTCCACAGACTCCATAGCCCGCACTCCATCGCTCGTGAGACATCCATCCGCGGCACCAATGCCCGTGGTCGCAGTGGTGGCGGTGGTGGCAGTGGTGGCTGTAGGGGTGGTTTCCCCATCGTCAGCCACGAGGGAGGTTCCGGGCGTGGCCTTGTCGTTGAGCTTGCGTGCTCGGTTGCGCCCGCGGTGCAAGTGGCGCTCGCAGTACTTCTGCTCCGCCACCACCTGTGCACGCGAGCGCGTAGGCGCGTGGGCATGATGGAGCGAGGGCAGGGCGGGAAATGGCAAAAAAAAGGGAATGTTAAGCACTTGGCACGGGAACATCCAGGTACACAAATCGACAAGAACGCAGTGCAAGGAGGCAATAAGAGAAGAGGGTGGCATTATCCGGGAATAGGAAGCAGGTAGAGAAACCCACCTCACGGGCGCACCGCCACTTCTTGCCATCTGTCCGGCGACATCTAAAGGGCTCCGGATCCACTTGCATCGACGGCCCCCAGAAAGCTGCAGCCACACACGGAGCGAAAAAAAAAAAAAAAAAAAAAAAAAAAAAAAAAAAAAAACTTCTTTTTGAGCAACAAACTAATCGCAACAATGGCAAGAAAGATGCTGCCACACGGCACCTTACGTGAAAATACACCATCAAACGATCATGATGAAGCTGTTGTATAAAGCATCCTGCTTCGGCATACATACATGGCATGAAGGCTCCCATGGGATGAAACGTCTGAATCCCGAACGGTAGCGGCGGCATGGACAAGCGCACGCGCGAAACGAGCTCCAGCGGAACAGGGGCTCCCGCGACGAGGTACTTGAAGATGAGCGCCTGCTGCTCCAACTCCTGCCACTGCGCCACCGTGAACGGCCCGCACGCGCCCGACTCCACTGCGCACAGGGTGAGTCACACGACGAATTGTTACAGGAAAGTGAGTCCAACAAGCAGAACACGCGGAACCACAAGAAACGCGAGCGCGAAAGTTGCGACGAGCGATCGCGTTAATGTGCAGTGGAATGGTCGAAGAAAAATCGGACACGGACAACGGTGCCGACCGAGGGCTAGTGCGTACCTTGCATGGGAGCTTGGCTTGGCACGTGAGAGTGCATTTGCGTCGCCTGCATAGGCGTCGGTTGCATAGGCATCGCCTGCATTGCCGTCGCCTGCATAGATGTCGCCTGCATAGATGTCGCCTGCACAGGCATCCCCTGCATCTGCAATTGCGGCTGAGCCAGCGGTTGTTGGAATGGTTGCTGGGGTGGAGGGCTTATGTTCATCTGACCGCCAGTGGCAGACGCAGCAGGATTGTACTGAGGAGGCGCTGCTGCTGGTGCTGCTACTGGCGCTTGGTTCTGAAACGAAGGCACAGGTACCTGCGACGAATAGATAGGCTGCTGCTGCTGCTGCTGCTGCTGCTGCTGCTGCAGAGCGTTGTATTGAGGATGTTGGAACTGCTGCGGCTGCTGCTGAGGAGTCGAGAGCTGTTGGGTGACAGCGATTGGCATAGGAGGTGCCTGGGATGGCGGCATCTGAGGCTGATCCATCTGATAAATCTGCTGCGCTTGAGGCTGCTGAGCTGGTTGGTATTGCTGATGCTGCGGCTGAGGCTGCTGCTGGTAAATGTTGGGTTGAGGTACTGGTCCTGGTTGCTGCTGTTGGGTGTACATGTTTTGCTGTTGATACTGCTGCTGTAGCTGCTGTGCCTGGAAATTCGCCTGTGGCTGATGTTGCGATTGCGGTTGGTAGACTTGTTGTTGCTGCGGTTGTGGCTGCTGTGGGTACGCTTGCTGCTGCGACTGATAAGCCTGCTGCTGTGCTTGAAATGCTTGCTGTTGCGGCTGGAACGTCTGTTGCTGCGGTTGCTGCATCTGCTGCTGATACATCGCCGGCTGCTGGTACTGCTGGGCTTGTTGTAGAGAAACCTGCTGAGGATGTTGTTGATATTGCATTTGCGAAGACTGATAGCTGCCTTGTGGCTGTTGCTGCTGCTGCTGTGCTGCCTGCTGTGGCTGCTGAGGAAGGCTCCGCTGCTGATTGGAGCTCTGCTGCTGGAAAGGCGGCTGACAGGGTGGCATTGGCTGAGAAATAAAACCAGGCTGCTGCTGCTGTAGTGGGGGTTGGTTCTGCCAGTGCTGAAGTGGTTGCGCTTGGAGTTGATTGGGAGCCATGGACCGTGTCTCCTGTTGTTGGTGCATAACACCCTTGAGAAACTCGGACCTGCGGGGAAGCGGAAGGAGGCTCCTGCTTCTGATGTTGATGCTGCTGCAGCTGCTGATGCCAAGCTTCCGAAGATACACCCTTGAGTAGTCGAGATTGGGTTCTGGTAAGAGCTCGAATTAGGGTCGTGTGCAATACGTGGATTATCCAACCAAACAAAAACACTGCCTTTAAGCAGTTTAAGGACCTTTACCCTGTTTGAACTCTGGAAGCTTGATAGGAAGCAGAGATGTTGTCGTGCGAAGTAGATGTTGGTTAGTAGAAGCCAACGCGTTGGCGCGAGACTTATTTATCTGCGCCTGATATGCAGAGCTTATAGTAGCAAACAGGGGATATCCTACAAAACGGGAAGTCACGAATATCTATAGACCGAATGCTCACCATATAGTTTGAATAAAGAAGACGCTCGAGAGTAGCGGCTCCAGACACTACACTACTGTCACTGTATACGCGGCAACGATCAGCAGAACTCCAGCCCGGATCGGAATAAGTTACATATTTAGAAGCAAGCTATGGTCTTCCAAATGTCAGAATGGAAGCTCGGTGCCGTCCTGAACTCAGGAAATGATCAGGCTGGTCAGTAGAGAAAGCACTTACTCTGAGCAAGAGCAACACAGGGAAAATGCCTTCTGGTCTGATAGCTCATACAAACGGCTCTGGAATGGACAGAACGGTCAGAAGCGCCATCAACCAGGCGATCGCATCAGCGAACAAACACTAGGCATTCAATGATCAGTCATGGCTTCCGAAACTAGTCCAGAAACAGCCACTACTGTCAGATGTAGCAATTTTTTGCCAGGCGAAACTGCAGGAATGTAGAGGCAGGCATTCAGGGAATTGGAGGGAAGAATTTCGCCCAGCGACGGAAAGCATCGGAAAGCATCCAGCCAGCCCAGGCTGGTTATCTTTTTATCAAGAGGGGCGTGATGGGGTGGCCTTGGGAATGTCACGGGGACGGGTCGCTGCTTGATCGTGATTGGTTCCTGATGATGCCCATCAATCACAGCACTCGATGAGGGGACCCTGTCAGAAAGGAAAAGCCTTCCTGTTTGCCAAGCCTGGGCAATTTCCCACAAGCGGGAACGGTTGCCAATGTCCAAGGCAGCCAATAAGCTGGCTGTGCAGGGGCCAAGCCGGAGGCTGGCCCAACCTGACATTTTTGGGGTGAGGCTCGGAAAGCTGCGTTGGGCATCACCTCCTTTCGGCGAAAAAAATCCAAGACACGCGCCCAACACCCTGCATCCCTGACGACGGTTCGCCCAAGGAATTGGCGGGATGATAGGGAATAAGACTTGCCTCCATAATACTAACTCGGTGGCACACGCAGATTTGCATATTGAAAGACTTGACATCATACAATAAGGTGAGAGCTGAAATACAAGGTCCTTCACTAAGGTGAGCTGCTTATGAATGTTGCTTATATGCTATCCTGGGTGATTGCAGGAGCTATTCTAACAAAACATACACAGAATGACGAACACAACAGCTTGTCCCTCAATATTCTTGGCGATGAAACCCCGTTCACTTTGCCATGGTATGCTTCATGAGTGTCTATTGTTGGGAACAATAAGTCTTAAGCGCCTCTGTCGTGTCGAAACTCAGGACACTAGCGAAGCAGTCCGAATCGAAGCATCGCGAGTCAACCCTCAGAGGTTAGGGTAACCGCCTGGAGGTTACAGGAAAGTCAAAGGTCAGCGACCTTTGACTCGACAATTACAGCGCGACAGCAAGGACACACAACTGACTCGACATTGAGCAGTTGCCCGAGTCGCACTGTATCGAATCGCAACAGTAAAACGGTTTGAATTTATCTATTCGTATTCCTTGTACTCTTATATAAACCTTTGTATTTGCTTGTTTAATCAACTTACTTTGCCCTCATATACTAGCGCAAGGTGGTTCAATCACTCTTTATTTCAACGCTTCCGCTATTACAATCCTACTCAGACCTTAAGCTCTACAAAGATCCTAGGGCTTCTCAGCCCAACATGGTACCGTCTCCCCCCGGATATAAGCGCCACCCTAGGATAAGCGCCTGGCGCTTCTAATTGGCATATGGCGCTTATATCCCCTCCTCGATTATAAGCGCACCCCTTGAAAAAACTTGTTTTATTATAAGCGCACGTAAACTTTAAAATTTGAAATGTGTTCAAAAAGCTGTAACGATTTTTACTTTAGCAGGCAGATATGTTGCAGATTCGGTTCCCTTCACATTCGGACCCTGCACTGGATGCGGGTCCAGTCAGCAGGACCTGTCAGGAGCTGGATGTGAGTCAGATTGGATGTATCTCCCAGCGCGCGCGAGAATTTCACAGACGATCCCATGTAACTTCGACTCGATTGAAAAGGCAAGCACGAGACCTACAGTTTGGTGTTAAAAGATATAAAAAAATATGTATGTCATTTTATAAACGCCGGCGCTTATAAATTTACTCGATTATAAGCCCACCCCCATGAAAAAACCTGTTTTATTATTGCCCCCCATGGGGGTATATCCGGGGGGATACGGTATGAGAGCAGTTAGAGTTTAAAGGTTATTTTTCTCTCAACACTCAATACAAAGAAATTAGACATGTCTGCAAGGAAGGAGAGGAGCTCCTCCAACGGCTCTCCAGGCACTACTCCTACTCCACCTCCTGCCTCTGGCCTACAGACAGAGGAAGGTACTACCGCAAGGCCAGCAGCTGGGTCCACGGAAACACCCGCAGGCTTCGATCCAAACATGATGGATAAATTTTTCTCCTTCATGTCCTTCTACGAGCAACACCAGCAAGGAGTGCCTGCGCAGTCAAACAACAGCAACAACAACAACGTTACTCCGATGAGCCTCGACGGCTCATCCTACGCACGCGGGATTCAACAACAACAACATCAGCCTACCTTTGCGCCGTACGAGCCCCAACGTGGCTCCGTCAGCTTCATGCCGCAACCGCAACCTGCATCGGGACAAGAAAGGACATTGGATGCGTTACAAGTCCAATCGCAATTCGCGCATGTCCTAAAACTACTAACGACAAAGCCTTTCGACGGCAAAGATTTCTTCACCTGGTCGTTCGAGTTTGAACTGATGATGGAAGGAGCACAGATTCTCGGCTTCTTCGACGGGTCCCTGCCATATCCAACAAACGGGACACAATACCGTAAGCCCCCGGATAGAAGCGCAGGCCTCGGATAAGCGCCGGCGCTTATAAAAGGATGAGGGCGCTGACAAAGTTTGAAGAAAGAAAGAGGATTGAACTAGCAGGAATGAGGATACAAATAGCAAAACCCTAGAAGGGTTGTACTCGCTATAGAGCACCCCACTACAGGCTAGAACATAAGATAATATTCTGACACACCCCCATAGCCAAAGTGGGGTGTAATCAGCAGAGCAGGCAAAGCAATACAAGCTCAGGGTGGATCACAATGTCACCACACATTCTGAGCACAAGTTCAAGAAGAAATAGTTTAGAGTTTACAATTATAAGCAAAGCTAGTGGTAGTCACAACGGGCAAGTGAGGAGGAGGAGGGAGAGTGAGGGGAGAGGAGATAGGAGGCGACAGCTGAAGCTGCAGACACACGGGCAGCAGGAGGCAGACTGACACAGCGGCTACCGGACAGCGCCCGGACTACAGGAGTAACAGGCCCCGCGGCTCAAATAGCGGCGGACGGGCAACGGACCCACAGGCGGCTGGCGTAGAAGTCTAGCTCACTGGGCTACCGGGACAGCGCCCCGGACTACAGGTGCTACTGACGACAAAATGGCAACCTCCGCTCATCCTCCCGCACACAGTCCCACCCCCCTGATACACACCCACTGCTACACCGCTAGCTCTACTCCCACACACCCCCCTTAAACCCTAAACCCAGTCTCCCACACATCCACCCCCCTCAGCGACAGCTGCAGCAGTGGGAGACGAAGGAGGA